GAAACAGTAAACAAATGAGAGAATAATGACTATAGAAATTGTGCATACACAAAGGACTGGCCTTTCAGGTCCTTCGCAGGTAGCTGGCTGACCGGCCACAGCAACCGTTGGTCACATCTGTCACCCCAAGAACGCCTGGGGCCAGGCGAATGTTCGAGGGTCCAGGCTGCCCAGCCCTGAGACCTCATCAGGAGAGCTGCTATCTGAACCACTTATGAAGAAGCCACTTAAGTGAATTCCTCGACTCTCCTTGGTAAGTTATTCTGTTCATGACTCTCCCTGGAGAAGTATCCAAGGGTCTAACAAGCCATGTAAGCAAGGCAATTTTTCATAGCGTGCAGCTGAAATCTCCCCATTTGGGTAAACATAGTCAATTTTATTCTCTTGTCTCCAGGGAGACACAGAGCAGTCTCTCACGGTCGTCCACACCACCGCCTCGGGTGCCCCCAGAGACCGTGAGAAAGTCAGCTTCCTCTCCTGCGCAGGAGAGCAGAACCTGTGAGCATTCCTCGGTTTTCTTCGGCTGGATTGTCATCCCCACCCTGCCCCTGTGCATCAAGGACGGCTCCAGTCCCCGTTCTGGCAGGGTCCCCAGCCGACGACGCTACCTGCTCTTCATTTGTCACATGCTGAAGCCATCCCTACCCTGAAGAACTCCCAGTAGGCTTATTAAATATCCCTTTCAAAGCTGTTCATTTATCACCATTGTGGTAGCAGGCCAGCCAAAGAGAAACCCATTTTCCCCGTTTCCGATCATCTGAGTACGCAGGCAAAGATGCCTGCCTCGAATCCTTCAAGTCGGCTAATGCCGTGCAGTCATATTTGCAGAAGTCTCCAGAGGAGAACGGTGTCAGGCCACGGTGCTGCTAAGCTCCCTTGGCTTGCACGCTCGTGTGCTGAGACACGCTGCGCCGGCCTGACCTCCGGGGTGCGCCAGAGATGCACAGGAGGCCCCCGCTGCCCTCGGCGTCCGTGGTTATTAGATGTCCTTGCAGGGATGACGTATAAGACAAGGAAGGGTATCTCCAGACAGACAACTCAATCGTATTCGAGGTTAGCAGGGATAAGACTTCCCATAAATAGACAAACACTCGTGGGGCGGGGCTTCACGGAAGATCCAAAAAGGGAACTCAGAGGTGCTCTCAATGCAGGCAGAGATTCCTCTGCAGAGGACAGATGAAGAGAGACACCGTCTGGGGAAAAATTTTGAAATCACTTGTGTTTTCAATGCAAATGGCCACGGACACTGACAACATAAAGATGGGCGGGGGAATCGAGGGGAAGACACCTCCTCAACACTTTACATATGTTTTCTCATTTAATCCCGTTTAACCTAGCCAAATCTGTTTTTCCTGTTTTCAGATCAAATTCTGGAAGCAACACGGTTATCTGTCATGAAAAACTGAGCTCACAGACCAACGCCATCCCAGACACAATTCTGGCAGAATGGAGGCCTCCCCATGTCCGCCTACTCCTTTCCTCTAACAAGGGGCCAGCCAGGCGGGATTTATTACCTATGATGTCATCGAAGGTCCAACAAAAGTCACCCTAAAAGCCAACAGCCAGTAATTGGAGGCCATGGGGAGGCACGGGGGAAAATGCCGTCAGCCCACTCCTGGTGCTGGGTGCTGCCTCCCTGGGGCTGATGCGGTCCCCGAGCCAAGGGTGTTGCTGAAACCCCTCCCCACTAGGAGGGGATGATGCTCGGAAAGCTCGCTGGTGAACTTGAACTGCAGCTGTGCTCTCCGTACCCAAAGGAGGATTACTCATTTCAGTCTGACTCATTATAATTAGAGTAGATTTCCTTTGGGGAGCAATATTTACTTTTTAAAATAAAATGGCAATGAGGGATTTGTTAGTGTTTGCAAGGCCTGCTCACGGGTTGCAGATTTCCTTTGCCGAGGGAGTGAGCATCCAGAGTAACTGTCACCAGGGTGCTAGTCCTGGGCTCAGGCTTCCCTCAGGGGAGGGCAGCCGAGAACGCACATGAGCCCCTGAACCACGGGTCAGCAACCACTGCCATCGGGCCAAAATGCCTGTTTTCCCGAAGTTTTATCAGAACGAAACAATGTCCATCTCTTTCTATATTGCCTACAAATGCTTTCTCTCTACAATAGCAAAGTGGAGTAGTTGAGACCAAGATCCTATGGGCTTGCAGAGCCTCAAACATCTGCTACGGGCCCCAGACCAGGGCCAGATTCCAAGAGTGAGAAGTGTGCTGAGCCCTGCTCCCGTGGGTGGGACGCTCTCGAGGCTACGGAGCCTCCTGTACTCAGTGCAAGAACTGTATCATAAGAACTCCAAGGTTCAAAAAAGCTTCAGAGCTCAAAACTTCCACGAGCCCATTAGTCCTTTTGGTACTATGGCCAAATATCAGCAATTACTACTTCACTGAACATTCATCTCCTTGGAGCAGAAAGGAAGTCGAACTTCCCTCCCTGGAAGTAATATCCTGAACACCTACACAGGTCCTGGCTACTTGCCTCCACACACTGGCTTTGTGTTTAGGTGACTGAGGATCACAAGAACGTATTAAGTGATTAATCAATCCGTTCGTGCATTCATTTTTGACCTCAACAAGTATTTACTGAGCGCCAGGTGTTGTGCTAGGCACCCAGCATACGAGATGACAGTGCTGGATGCCCAGATGACGGTGGCCGAACGGGGGTCAGACGCATCGGCGGCAGCAACACATCGTCGTGACCAGAAGCTCGCGTGGGGACGTAGGAGGCTGGAGGTGGAGCCCAGCGGCGCGGGGACGGGTCAGGGAAGCTTTCTCAGAGAAGGTGATGCGTATTTAGCTTTGCTGCCAGTTCCTCTTTAAGACGTTAAGTGTGAGGACTCTGTAATCACTCAGGCCCACCCTCGCCCCTAGAAAGCATGACCTGAGTATAAAGTCAATTGTCCCAGAGGCAGCGGTGGCTTCTGGTGGGGAACGGGCTGGCCTAGCAAGTAAGGGGTCTGGAGAGGGAGCAGTGTGGAGCCCCGTCTGCCTCCAAATTCTGGATGTAATTCTAACGTCATGCATGCACACACACACACGCTTCCTCCTTTAGTAAACCGTGGGTTAGGTTTTCTGCAAACTGCAGGATCAGGTTGAACGGCCTCTGTTCCAGGGTCTGGCCTCTCCTGCGTGCCGAGGGTGAGGCAGGGGTCCATAAGCTTTGTGATAATCACTGGGTGACAAGGAGAGAGGCGGCAGGTCTGCGGAAAGAGGCGTTGGCTGGCATGTGAGTCACGATGTCCTTTTCCTGATGTCTGTGAGGAGGCTGCCCAGCCCGAGCTCTTCTGCGAGTCGGGGGTGAGGTCGGTGGGCGAGGCTGTGGGCAGCAGGCCGCCCAAAGATCATGGAGAACAGGGAGAGACTATGGAGGTGACAGATCACTTGTACAGAAGGACAGGATGGATAGGGGTATGATCTGCTTCCCAGAAACACCTTCAGTCAGGATTTCAGAGGGATTTAAAGTCGGCTGTTGGAGACTTGGTCTTGAACACTGGGCTCCCTCCTGGGAGCTGCAGGTCCTCGTTGTGGGAGGGTTAGCGCCTACGAGGAAAGGCGAGCCTCGTCTCCTTGCACTGACTGGTGGGTCGGTGTCCCCCCGCCATGGCCTCTGGCCTCCCCTCACTTGCTGACCCCCATTGGCTAGACGTGCTTTCCGGATCCTGATGACTGTGTGCCTGGCGCCGGGTCCCGTGGTAATAGCCAGGACAGCGCTGTGGCCCACATCCTCCTGTTTCTTTCTTTCTTTCTTTCTTTTTTAAGATTTTATTTATTTATTTGAGAGAGAGAATGAGAGACAGAGAGCACGAGGCGGGAGAGGGTCAGAGGGAGAAGCAGACCCCCTGCTGAGCAGGGAGCCCGATGCGGGACTCGATCCCGGGACTCCAGGATCATGACCTGAGCCGAAGGCAGTCACTTAACCGACTGAGCCACCCAGGCGCCCCATCCTCCTGTTTCTTTAAACCATTTCAAGGCAATGGAACCAACATGCAACCAAGGGAATATAATTGCACCACTGGGAAAAATGAGACTATTTTAATTCCTAAGACAGAAGACAGACTGTCCAATATTATCTCACCCCAAGCTTTTGAAAATAATCATTTTCTGTGTTATTTTAGGAAAAGTTTTTGAAATGCAGCTTTACGTAATCAGCAGGATTTACGAAATGCAGCTTTACGTAATCAGCAAGACGCAGGAGGACATGGTGAGCTGGACCCGGGCCATGTCACCTGACCTCGTACTGCAGGGGCTTCCTGCAGGGGGCGATGCAACCTCGGGGAAGAAGATTTGGGTAATGCTGGAGCCGGAACACATCTGAGAGATCATCTTACCCCGCTTTCACTCAACATGGGGCAGGCTGACTGCAGCCTGACAGCTGAGGGTTCCGATAACACGCAGGACTAGAACCCTCGCCTCCTAACTGCTGTTGGCTCAGAGCCCTTCGCGCTGGACCGGCCTGGCCATTCAGTTTCTGGAAACATGTCGGTCTGCCAACCCGAGTGGGAGTCCATGTAGGTGTCTGATGTGGAGCCGTGAGGCTGCTCTGGCTATATGCTGACCTCACACGCAGGGAGCCCGGCCCACAAAGGCCAGCAAATCCACCTCTCATAAAACCCTCGGAAGAACAGGGCCAGATTCCAAAAGCAAAGCAAAAGAAACTTTCAATGACTACACGATTCTGCTAATTCCTACTGACGGTCCTTTTGACAAGGCTTATCCCCTTGACCTCATAGTAAGCCTGTGATCTACACACAGCTACAGTTGGGGATATCAGGATATCAGGGTATTGGATCTGGGAACCACAGTACAGCCTGTTCCAATTTCAAGATAATTCTCTAACAAAAAAGAAACGGCCATTTTACACATGCAAATATTCTGGTGTCCTTTTCCAAAATGTATCTCACACAAACCCAGACATCGAGTGTCGTGAGACAGATTCAGCCTCTAATGTGTAAACTTCATCAAATTCAAACCTGGTCACTGAGCTTGATTGGCTTACCAGCTGCTGGCCTTTAGGACCCCAGCCTGCGTACTGAAGTTTTGCATTGCTCACTTCCGGTGGGTCCAGACTTTGAGGATCCCTGAAAGAAAATAAGTAAATAGATAAACAAATAATCAATCAATCAATCAATCAACATGGTGGGAAACAAGAATGCTGTATGTTTATCCTCCAGCTCTAACTTTTTCCCTTCTTCCGTTGTATGACTTTCAAGAGCTCCTGTTATTAAAGAATGTCTCAGCCTCTGTTAGATTTCTTCAGATGTACATAATTTACATGAAGCTGAACCAGTCCCATCACTGCTTAACCCAAATAGTAAATACTTATCAAGAGACAACATGCAGAGAGGTCTGTAGATCAATTATTAAAATATCCACACCCGTCAACATTAAAAATGGAAATGCATGGCTACGCAGTAACAAGTTCCCATGATTTCTGTTTCCATCTTGGGCTTTCCTGGTGGATCACTTTTTTTCTAAGCATAATGCCAGGTCATTCTGACCTTCCCAAACCAGCAGCCTGAGGACAAATTCCACACTTTGGTTTGTGTTGGGAAGGAGGGAAGGAGGAGGGAGGGAGGGGAAGATTGAGAGAAAGATTTTTTTTCCTTTCAAACATCACTTAGATTTTCATTCTTAACTTATTGATATGCAAAATACTATGCTAACAAAATCCTACTTATATACTTAAATAAACGTCATAATGAAAGAATGAAAAAACCTAACACTTTTATAAGTATAAAATATTTCAGTGTATTTTGTGGCTAACACTGTTTTCTACAGCATGTGGAAAAGATTCATTTTCATATTTCTTTCAGAGGACGTATTACCTGTGTTCTGCTGGACAGGCAGACTCCGTCAGGTGCATACCCTATCACTTGGCTCTGATATGCAGAAGGCATACCTACGAATGCACTCATTCATCTACTGAGAGGCTGTGGCTGAATGGTCTTTGGAAAAGGAAGATGCTGAATTTTAGGAGTTGCTTCAACAAAAGAGACGAGGCAAGAAGGGAGGGAGGTAAAGTGTAGGTACTGATTCTGGGCTTGAATCAGCAGAAAATTCTAAAGCAGTTGCTTACTAATACTACCAGAACAAAACAGAATACACTTAGGCGTACAAAGTGTTGGGGAAGGCGAGATAGTCTGCGATACCCCAGAGTAGTTTTACATGGGGTCCCTGGGTGTAAAGAGATCAGGGAAGCCTGAAGATGGGGTGATTAGGTGTTAAGTAAGGGATGGCAATGATAATAGGATTCAGCTGGGAAGGTTGATGACCGGGCAGTTAGAAGAGTAAGGGAGGGGTCTTAACATTCCCGGTTTTGAAAGAATTTTAACAAACCCTACCATTTGTATGTTTTCAATGTTTCAAAGTATTTTCATAACATGGGCCATTTCCTCTTTAACTGTGGGTAGGGAAAGGCTTTCTAAGGACTCAAAATCCAGAAGTGATTAAAGAGTGACACATTTGACTACGTAAAAATTTTTAAACTTTTTGCATAACAAACACATCACAAACAAAAGACAACTGACAAGCTGGGAGAAAATATTTGTAACACACACCATGGAAAAATAGCTAATATCCATAATATATAAAAAATACCCTAAAATATTGAGGTTACAAAAAACCGAAAAAAAAAATTAGAAACATGAGAAAAAGACACGAACAGACAATTCACAAAAAGATATAAAAGGTCCTCAGATGTATTAAAAAGGACCAAACAATGCAAAATTATAGAAATCGAAACTGAAACTACATTGAGTTATCATTTTTCACCTATGAAATTGCTCCCCTCCCCAAAAGAAAGAAAAGTATGGTGCACTGTATTGGTGAGGCTGTGAGGAAAAAGCCATCCTCATATTTTGCTGGTGGGCGTGAAAACTAGTGCAAACCTTTCAGAGGGAAACTTGGTCATACCTAATAAAATACACACTTAACTCTTGAACTAGAACACTTCTGGGAAGATATACCTCCCACAATACAAAAATACATAGGCAGAAGGTTACATTCATTGCAGCTTTGTAATGACAAAACACTGGAAACAATATGTGTTTGAGGAAACCATGGTACATCCATACAAATGGAATATGGTACAGATGTCAGAAAGAATGAAGACCTCCACAGACTGATATGGGGTGCTTTTCATGATGGAGTATGGAAAACTCAACAGACCATCTAGAGTATGTGACCCATCATATAAGGGATAAAAGAAAATATACATGTATCCTCATTTGTGAAAAAAAGAAATACAAGAAACATAAACCAGAAACCAGAGGTTAGTTATGTGTAGGGGGTGGGTGGGAAGAAGCAGGGATTGGTCATGAGGAGGCTGGATAAGAAAGGAGAAGCACTTCTCTGGGTAAATTTATTGGTATAATGCCCAGTCTTAGACCACAGTAGGGTTTCACATACTTTTTGCATACTCTACAAATAAAACTAAGAATTAAAAACAATCAGGATGTAGGGGAACCCCAAAAGGAAGAGCAACACCACAACAGAGCAAAACCCTATTGGAAATGAAGCACAAAACTACACAGAAGGGGTGGGGAAGGAAAGAACCAACATAAACAACTTTGGTTAACAGTATCGTGACTGGATACCATAAAGTCAAAAAGATCAGAGGACAATGGGTTAGTAATTCTGAAACGACTTTATGTGTGTGCTAGAATTAAACTATTCTGCAAATATATAAATATAGTGGAGATAAAGATAGCCAGTTTTCTTACTGCTGGAAAAACAAATTATAAGGAAAAGGGGAAGGCTAAAATGAACTGTGTGAAGTTGGCCTGGAATCAGAGGTATCAGTACAAACTCATGATTTCGAATATATACACACATACACCCAAAATGTAGATATATGTGTATCCAGGTGTTGGTGTGCATACATAGATGTTCTTGCTCTATTCACAGAGAGGCCTAGAACCAATGACCCCCAGTAACAATGAGCACACCCACTGCCCATATCTTGGTGTCTCTGACCATCATCCAAGGAAAGTAAATAGGGCTCCTAGGGGATGTAATCGTATCTGGACTGGAACAGAGAAAATACAGGATGAGTCTGGAACATCTTATGGGTCCAGAAAGTGAGGAAATACTCAAAAAGGACAGAGGCTGGCTCAAAGAATGCAGAAGCCAACCTGAAGGAGTTTCTCATGGCCAAAGCTAGATAAATCTGAGCAACAAAATAATCAATAAGAGTATTAGATTAACCCATAGAATAAAATCAATATTCATAAGTCCATGCTAATATATGTAAGTAATCAAATACATAAAGCAGCTCTTCCTCATGAGAGAATCCCAATTAATAAGTTAGAATGAAGGAAGAAAAAAGCATTATATATGTGGTATTTTTCACTCAAAATGCACAACCTCACTTCAATCATGAGAAAACACCAGACAGGGGCGCCTGGGTGGCTCCGTCGGTTAAGCGTCTGCCTTCAGCTCGAGTCATGGTCCCAGGGTCCTGGGATCGAGCCCCGCATCAGGCTCCCTGCTCGGTGGGAAGCCTGCTTCTCCCTCTCCCACCCCCCTTGCTTGTGTTCCCTCTCTCGCTGTCTCTCTTTCTGTCAAATAAATAAATAAAATCTTTAAAAAAAAAAAAAAGAGAGAGAGAGAAAACACCAGACAAACCCAAACTGAGGCACACTTTACAGAACAGCTGACCAATAATCTTTGAAAGTGTCAAGGTCATGATCAACAAGGAATGACTGACGAAATGTTGCAGACTGGAGGGCTTTAAGGAGAACTAATGTCTAAAGGAATGTGGGATCCCAAAGAAAGGAAGGAGACATTGGTAGAAAAATAGGTAAAATTCAAATAAGTTGAATTAATAGCAAGGTGCTGATGTTAATTTCCTGTTCCTGATAATGACACTGTGGTTATAAAACACACTAACAATATTTCAGGAGTATAGGAGAAGTAGGGATAGGGGTAGAAGAGAATCATTTGTACTGTTTTTGCCATCTTTCTTTGTCTAAAATTACTTTAAAATAGAAAGCTAAGAAAAAAATCTCCAAAAAATTGAATAGCTTATATCTCATTGGTTATAAAAAATATTATAGGAAGAAATGAAAGTGAGAGAATTTCCCTCCAAACATACTGTAATCTTGATACTGAATTGGAAAAAAGTCTTTGATATTTAGCACGGCATGGGTGCTCATACACGCATCTGAATAAACAGATGAGTAAGGATGGATGGGTTATGGGGGTGGCTCTAAGTAAAAGACCTTTTGCAAATTTAAAGGCAAACCTAATGAATTCATTAGGTCTGGGTTTATCTAGAATTTTCCAAGCACGGAGCACAGAATAAGAAAATTTTCAAATCCCATAGTCTTACTGAATATTGAAATTCACTTTGTTAGGTAATGATTTCTAGGAGGAGTCTTGGATAATGGGGAACAGCAGGAGATTAGTCTCTCTCTAATCTAACAAGTGTAAATCCTCATAAATGCTAACTGGAGATGGTATCTCCAAGTAGACAAAGTGCCCCAGAAGATTTCATGAGCACCTGCTAACAATACCATGACCACACATGCATCCGGCCTTTGTCATCTTCACCCCTTCTGGAGGACTCACATACACTCCCTTTTTCTCATTGCCAGCACATGAGACACGTTTCTACATCGAGAAGACAGCAACCGTTAACGGGAAAAGCCTGCGCTCCAGCCCCATGTCACACAGATCGGGTGCTGGGTGCAATTCTCTGACTAGCCTCAACGAGGAAGGGGGTAATAGTTACCCTCTCCTCCACAGGATGGTCGTGAAAATCAAGAGAAACAATGAATGTTACTTTATAAACTCTAACATGCTCTAAAGAAGGAATTGTTTTTTATTTTCCTAGCTAGTGAGTCTCTGAAAGTTCAACACCTCCATGACGACCAGAGTGAGTTGCTGAGTTGCCTCGGTCTGTGTTTAGGAAAACACCATAGTGCACGCACCTCACACAGGGCAGGGAGCTTGGATGTGGTGGAAAGAGCTCTAAGAGGCTATAAAAGTAATTCTGAATTCTGCCACTAATTGGCAGGGGGGTGTGGGGTAATAGAGAAACTTAATCTAAGTTGGTTTTCTCGTGTATAAAATGAGA